ACCACTATGATAAATGCAAACAATCTATAAATAATATAGATAGAATAGATAAAAAGATATTAGAACTTGAAAAGAGAGCAGTAGAAAAAAGAAGAGAAATATTTACAAGTCTTACAGAAAAATTTAAAAACTTACAAAGATTTAAAAATTTCGAATACCCAGATTAAAATTATGAGTAGTAAGGATAAATTCACAGCTGGAAGAATTATTAAAGTACTTGATAAAGGAATACAAGTAAACAAAGAAGCTTTAGTAGAAATAAAAAGGACTTATGAAATTCTTAAAGAAATTCACAATAATTTTCAAGAAAAATATCATAAAATGAAACATGAAATTACTTCAGAAGTAAAAGATGCCAACAACACAATTATAAAGATAGAAACAGATATAAAAGAAGTGACCCAACAATTAAACCAAATAGCCCACGAAATAAAAAACACTGAAATAGGAATTAAAAAATTAGAAACATTAAGGTATAGAATTTTAACACATCTATTTACTTAATCTCTTACTCATTTTTATCCCTATCGCCTTGTAATTTATTGAGCTTGAAAATGGAAAGGAACAACAAATCTACTATACACTAATCTAAGCTATACTAAACTAACCCTAACTAGAGAAATGGAAGGGAAATGAAAGACGTGTTTTTGAGTGGAAAAATCCCATTTTAAATGGACAAAAACAGAGCTGTCAAATGTTGCAGAAGCTGGCCATGCATGGGTATGGCCACGGGCGTGGCCACTCCTGTGGCCAGAAATACAGGGCACACTACCCAGTGGCCTCAGACGATTTTCTGTGCACCTGACTTGACTTCTAGGCTATTTTTCATCTCCAAAACCTTGAATTAGCTTTTGTGGTTTTCATCAAAGTTGTAGTCCTTCAAGTTAGCTTTCCAATGATATAAAAATGACTTTATTTGGACATTTCTACGTAGAGATATGGCCAAAATACTTAGCAGTGGACGATTTGTGCGGGAATTTCAACGTCTTGCTCTTTTGCTCCACTTTTGCCTTTGTTTGTCCAAATGACCAAGACCACTAAACACACCATAATTTGGCTTTCTAAGAGGTGTTGCCTCCACCTTCATAGCTTCTCATTGGCTCCCATTAACTCTACATGCATCCAAAATGCCCCAATAATCATTCAATTTATCTAAATCATCAAGAATTACACATAAACACACAAATAAATCAAATGAGGGACACTTTGGTCAAAATTATAAAAAATAACATGGAAAATAAACTTAAATGCAAGGTAAAATTAGGATGCAACTTGGCCTTCCACTTCACAAGGTCAGGGATATCTGCCCTCTGTATTTGCCTAATGGTAAAACTGTGAATTCTGATATTGGTTACAAGGTTTGAAACTTCATTCAATAAAATGCTAGATAGAGTTTGTAAGCTCAAGCAAGCAATGATGATAGAAGTTAAGGTCAATGATTGGTGTATCGTTAGCACTGCATTAGAGACATTTAGGAGTGTATATAAAGTGCCAAAGATCTCCAGGAGCGAATGCTTTTGGATTGGCATTTGGCCAATTTGGGGTATTCTAATTCTTTGTTGATGTCTGAACTATCCATAGCTTTTTGGGATCAAGACCATCCTTACGAAATGGACGGGGTCATTGTTTTATTCGGGGTGAGTATGAGAGGCTTGTGAGGGCATTAGCTGAGGACCTTCCCATATTTTATAACCAGGAGAGTATTAGGCCAGGTATGGCATTGATGGGGTTTTAGTTAGTCAGGAGTATCATGCAGATATGGTTCTTTGTACTGTGCCATTGGAAGTGCTTAAGAAAGGTGCCATTGAATTTGTGCCTGACCTTCCTAAGCAGAAGAAAGACACCATTGCAAGATTGGGGTTTGGTTTGTTGAATAAAGCCCCAATATGACTTTTGGGGCAAGGAGATTGATAAATTTGGTCACCTTACTGAGGACTCGAGCATGAGGGGTGAGTTCTCCCTCTTTTATAGTTATTCTGCAGTTTCGGGGGTCACTTCTTGTGGCTCTCGTAGCTAGGGAGCTGCGATAAGATTTGAAAAGATGTCTGAAAGCTGTTGGGAGAGTTTTAGAAAACTGAAAGGCATATTCATATTAAGTCCAAAAGGGATAGCGGTTCCAGATCCACTTCAGGCAGTTTGTACGGGGCTGGGGCTAGATCAGTTCACTTATGTCTCACAATATTCTTACGTTGCAATTCAAGCTGAAGGGGATGATTAGGATAAACTCCATAGCCACCGCAGAGAAAACGAACAATCCCACCTAGGAAACCAAGGACATCAACAGACTATTTGAGAACTCAGACCTTAGTTCTCAGCTCTCTGGATGATCCAACATCACCTGAACTCGGGTGGGTTGGGTTAAACAGTTTGGGTCAACCCAACAACGTCAAACCCGTCAATGTGTATATCTATTTAAGGGGCATTAGCCCTTCATGGGACCCCTCCACTCTCATGCACTCTCATTCTAGACACTCTATACTCTCTAAAACAGTGAATAAAACAAGCTCCATGGCTAGACTCCTTCGTTTTTGGTTTACATTTGGTTTCCTCCAATATTTCATGGGCGATGGTTATGGTAGGGCGTGATAGTAATTTAAAGTATTGATCTTCAAAGCGTTTCATGATTGTTATGATATATATATTAGAGTAGTTTTTATTTTCTTTTGAGCACTTATATTCTAGAGGTTGTTTAGAAATGAGCCTCATAAGGGGTATTTATACTAATTCAACCTCATAGATGGCGGAGATTAACTAGAACCTATGGCTAACAATCAGTATCTAGAACCCTCCATAAATCTATACACAATCCTAAGGTTCTAGAATATTTTATACATCTATACAACTATTTGTGTTATATACATGCTTTTAGAAAATTCTATAACACAAGTATATTGCCTTCACTATTTTATCACATAGGATTGGGATAAAGCCAGCCCCTCTTAATTCTATAACACGAGTATATCTTTATTAGGGAGATCGATTCTAATTCGTGTATTATATATAAAGAGTTCATTTGAATGGCATGAGCAATGTAACTAACATTTTCAAGAAAATAGCATGAAGAATCATCAAACAGACAATATACATAATGCACAAAAAGTCCCTCCTACGAAATGTAAAAGTTAAGAGTACACAAGACGCCACTCAGCTCCGAGCAACAGGTGAAATTGGTACCAAACTGAATTATGTGTTTTATCTCAAGTAAAAATTAAAATAATACGAGTAGTTGGATTGCATATTTAAGTAAAATCAGAAAATTTTATTAGGGGATTCAGAATTTAGACCTAATCAAATGTGGTATGAGTTAATTTGGCAAATTATGTCGTGCAACCATGTGCACTATGCATGGTGTACACGGAAATTGAATCCATAATTTTTATACTATAGATTCATAATTATTGAATTCCGTATTCACAAATCACTGAACTATATGTTCATAATTCGATAAATATACAGTTTAAAAATTATGAATCTATAATATAGAAATTATGGATCCAATTCCGTGTGCAACATAATTCCGTGTCCACCTTGCATGTTGCACACGGTTATTAAAGATTTAGTCAATTAATTTATAAATAAATAAATCGATTTTAAGTTTTTTTTTTAATTTATTTATTTATGAATTGAGTCTAATTAATAAAAAATTATAATAAATAGTATGCTTTTATATATTTTTTTTAGGGGAAACGCACTTTTGGTCCCTTAATTAGTGCCCAAAATGCAATGTGATCCTCACTTCTCAATTTGGACAGAATTGGTCCCTCAATTATTCCCTCATTAGTCAATTTAGTCCTTCTGTGAATGGTGTTAAACGGATTAACTCACAGAAGGACTAAATTGACTAACGGTGGAATAATTGAGGGACAAATTCTGTCCAAATTTGAAAGTGAGGATCACATTGCATATGTGACACTAATTGAGGGACTAAAAGTGCGATTTCCTCAAATTATATATATAACTAATGTAAATTTTATTTAGGGGAAATCGCACTTTTGATCCCTCAATTAGTGTCTCATATGCAATGTGATCCTCACTTCCCAATTTGGACAGAATTGGTCCCTCAATTATTTCACCATTAGTCAATTTAGTCCTTCTTTGAATGGTGTTAAACGGATTAACTCACAGAAGGACTAAATTGACTAACGGGAGAATAATTGAGGGACCAATTTTATCCAACTTGGGAAGTGAGGATCACATTGCATTTTGGGCACTAATTGGGGAACCAAAAGTGCGATTTCCCCTATTTTTTTGTATTAGAGATTATATCAGAGAGGGTACAAAACTACAAATGAAATTATTATACATAATATCTATTTCACGAATCATGTTATAACTTAAATATGTTTAATTTATAACGATTAAAATGTATATATCAATAAAGTCATCTTAAAATCCCATATAAAACCATCCCAATCCAAAACATCAAATTTTACCCCAAAAAATATGTAACTTCAAATTTTACCCCAAAAAATATGTTACCTCAAATTTCAAAATCGAAATCGCATAAAATTCATTCTTACCAACTTCTCAATTCACCGAGGATGGTTAGAGCATCATGGCTAATAACGTGTTGTAAGAATATTTAGAATAGAGGGATAAGGGAAAAAAGATAGGATCTTCTCATTCATCATCTCGAATCCGTATACAAAGGTATCACCAAATATAAGGTAATAATGAATACATATAAAAGGTAATAACCTTATCAGTTACAACTGTTACCATATATATAATAATGTCCACAATAATAATATTTATAACAAATCTTAAAATTCCATATAAAATCATCTCCAATCCAGAACATCAAATTTTACCCCAAAAAATATGTAACCTCAAATTTTACCCCAAAAATATATAAAGCTTAAGGTGCGTAAATATGTAAACAATAATATTATTATTGATCAATCTGTGATGATAGAAAATACATAATGAAGAGATGTATTTACTGATTTACAAGGATAAAAGAACCATAGTCATGATAATATAGGAAAAGAGAGAATAAATTCATAAATAACTCAAACTATAAAACACAAAAAAACACACTTTGTATGGTTGATAGGTACACTTTAAAGTTCACGCTAAAATGCACTTTAGTAACACTCCACTTTAAAAGTTCTCATCCTTACTGTATTGTAATGTCAACAATACAGCCCAGAATCAAAGCAGCAGAACTGAAGCAGATGGATTCATATATATATAAGATCGAGTTGATTATGAGTGTATTAAGTTGCAGGAAAATTCCCAGAGTTTGTTGGCCAAATCTGCATCCTTAGCATGTGAACTTTGTTTACCTATGTTGCTGTCTGAAAAGTACTCTCCCCTTACCCCCTTAACCTGAGGATGCAAAGCAGCATAGCATGTCGTCGCGGCTCCCTACATGTAACCAAAAACGAGATCAGATGCTAATTATCTCTATCTCATTCACTCAGACCATATACATAAAACACGACAGATCGAATGAAATGAACACCTGTGGGATGTTTTTCAGCACGTATTTCGCGACCCAATTCACAACACCTGTGAGCAGATAAATCAGTTGTTTGTATTGTTGATGATCACTAGCAAACAATTGTCAGAATTGGAGGAGAAGTTGAAAGCTTTACCATCAATCAGACTGTGATAACGCCAAAGGTTGGTGGCGATTGCTCCAGGATGGAGCGAATTCGCAGTTATCTCCACCCCTTCTTCCTGTATGCACACAAAGAACATTTTCTACCAATTTTCTCCAGCTACATAGAGGTCAAAAAAAAAAAAAAAACTAGTATATGGGACAACTCTAGCCAAATTGGTCAGACTGTTGACTTGGTAGCTTCCAAGTTCAGCTCTCAGTGGGAGCGGCCTTTTAGCCTTACCTAGACTGGTTTACCTCTTAGTCATCCTTTGTCATCTAGGGTCACAAGGCGGGGGTTTACCTAGTGCACACCCTCGGGTAATGGCTGCGGGTTTCCCACGTCACCCAAATAAAATGATAACTAGTACTCCGTATATAACTAATGAACAACAAATTAAAGTCGGGTTGGTGGTATGTTTTCATTCATGCTGGTTCTTCACTTGTTTACCCATTAGACTTTTCAGATTTGGTTTGAGAAAATATTTGATGTTATATCTCTACATTAGATGCAATGTAGCAGCATACAATCTGATAGTTAAAGGAATTCAACTGGGCAGCGATATTACCTTCAAGCGCCTTGCGAGTTCATTAGCATGCAATACATTAGCAAGCTTTGATTGTCCATAAGCATATATAGGACTGTAACTGGAGAAAATAGGAAACAAATTATTTACAGCAGAATAAAGAAGAAATTCTATCCTATAAGAGTTTCTCTCATTGAAGAACGACACTCTGGTTTTCTAGTTTTTTCAGAAACATAAACCGAGCTTTCTAACTGGTGTAAAACAAATCTTAATGGAAGCCTTAACTAGTTAACTACCCTGCAGACAACTTGAAAAAACATTCATAATCTCAGATGATGTTTTACCTTTCTTTGTCATTAATTTTATCAAACCGAATTCCTTCCTTGTATGGGTATCGGTGTGCCTCTGATGAAACAATGACTATCCTTCCTTCCTTCTGGCTCTCACGAGCTGTATGTTTCATCTTTTCCAGTAAAAGATTTGTCAGAAGAAAATGGCCTGCACAAACAGCAGTAACATTCTTATATTCGCACAACATATTCCTTAAGTATGAAATCGCAAAAGAAAGACATACTACACCTAAAAGAACAAAACCGGTTAAGGAAATCTCGAAAGAAAACTAACCAACATGATTAGTAGCAAATTGCAATTCAATGTTGTCTTGCGAGAGCATGAATGGTGGAGCCATGATCCCTGCATTGTTACTTCAAAAAACGAAGCAATTTTAGCATTTCTTTCGACAAATTCAAAGTTAGGAAAGTTAGGAATTCATAGAGATTATAGAATACCCCTTTTTTCAACAGTTAAACTATGTATGTTGTCTTACATGAGGATGTTCAAGGGCAGGCCGGAAGAGTTATATTCTGAAGCAAACTTTCTAACAGACGCCATCGAGCTAAGATCCAATTCCATAACGTCGACTTTAGCATTAGGAGTCTCTTTAGCTATGCTTTCTTGCAGTTTTCTGCCACTCTCCACAGCCCGAACTGCTAGAATCACATGTACACCGCGCAAGGCAAGGACACGAGCAGTCTCAGCACCAATGCCACTCGAGGCTCCTGAAATACGCAAAGATTGACAGATGACCAACATTAGCTAGGAATGCAACTCCACTGTTATTATTAGCTTGCCTTACATAACCCTAAATCCAAAAATGTGTTCCGTCTCGACTAAAAGTTTAAACTAATAGTAACACTGCAGATTTATATTTTATATATTATACTCTCAACACCCCTGAACTCAAAGGTCTTGCTTTGTTATATTTCTGGTACAATTTTTTTTTTTTTTTTTGTATAACTAAAATTAGGGAAAACTGCATTTTTTTTCATTCCTGAGTTACAGCCCTACAGGGTGTGCTATTGGTTATGCTCACTTCTTGTCTCTAAACTATAACTGATGTTACAAATTTCATCCTTTTTCTAATAAAACATTTGGGACGAAATTTACAACATCAATTATAGCTTAGGGACCAAACATCATGAAAGTGCAATTTTCCCTTAAAATTATGAAATAGATGTACAGTTCACATCCAGTTGAATGAACAATTATATTGATTGGTTCCTCATACCAGATGTATATTTAAGTATAAAACCAAACATCAAAGTTGTCAAACCTTCAAGAAAACTTTTTTTCTATTTCCCCTTATCTTGATAACATCACATCTACCCTGTAAAGACTTCCTTTTTCTCAAATACATCATTTCTCAGATTTCATAAAAGCTAGCAAATTTAAAAATATATATACCATCACCTTAATCTGTCATTACCATGGCATATCAGTTGGCCAAAATCAATAGAAAAGCATTAAGATTACACAATATCTGATGAAACATTCCAAGAAAAGATTCCTACATGGAAAATATAGGGCAGAAAAAGCAGTAAAAAAAAAAAATGGAAATGATCCCAAAATCCAAACAGAAATACAGAATTAGTAGAAGAAATAGAGGACCTGTAACAATGGCAGTGAGGCCAGTTCCATTGATTCCTTGAGTAACTTCCTCAGCTGTTGAGGAAGCTGAGAACCCAGATGCCCCTTTTCTTCCAAAAATCCACATATATACTGCAGAATATTGATTATTGAAACAAGAATAACTGTATATACTTCTTGTTCCTTGTAGTTTTCGTTGAAGTCTAGGTTGTTGTCTGACTTCTGTTTCTTGTTTCCCTGTGGTAAAGACTTCCCCTTCCCTGTCAAAGATGATAAAAGAAAAAGGTTTTTGGACGATTGGATCAGATGAATGGAAATGCAGTGGAGAAAAAGTTAAGAGATTTTGTCCATATCTTTTATACGGAGTATATATTTATAATGCAGAAGCAACACAGAATGCACTAACATAGAGACAGGGTGGATTACTATACAAGTCTCTTTTTAACTTATTTAGTACAGATCAATAATACATACTATATATTTTTACCATTTACAGAAAATCATCCATTACTATTCGAAGGTACGTTTTAGGTGAAATTCGTCTTATAAATTTAGTTGGTAAAGGATCTTAAAGAAATAAATTAGCTTAGCTAATCAATTTAAATAAATTTAAAAAAATTAGGCAAAAATTTGTGTAAAAATGCATTACGGATCTTTGTTAGTGATACGGGTCGGGTCCAGATAAAATGTGATATTTAGTACGGAGTATTACATTTGCTACTACAAGTATTACATTTGCATATTGACCTGACTCGCCTCACGAATAAAGATCCGTGATACGGTCCCCACAAGTGTGACCCAAAGAAAAAACTAATAAGCAGCTCCAATAGTGAGTCGAATTTTAATTTTATTTTATACTTTTATCTTTTAGCTTATCATTCAATTTTGGCTTATTTGATCAATATTAGCTGTTTGATTAATTAGCTTTTAGTAATAGTTTATTGCTCCAAAATGCTAAAATTCAAAAAATTGTTTAAAACAGCTTTTTTGATAAGCTTTTTGAAAATGTTATTTTGCATGTAATCAACTATCAACTAACAGTTAATTTACCAAACACTTGTCTACATTCAACTAATGTTATCAACTAGTCAAACTCACCAACCCAATCAGCTAACAACTATTTACCAAACACCCTCAAAGTTATTTTGCATGTAATCAACTATCAACAAACATCTAATTTACCAAACATCTTTCTACAATCAACTAATGCTATCAACTAGTCAAACTCACTAACACTATCAACTAGTCAAATTCACTAACACAATCAACTAACAACTATTTACCAAATACCCCTTAAAAAATGAATTATAATTTTTATTCTATTCTTTATCTTCTTATAGTAAGTCAATTATGAAGGTAATTAATGACATTAAAGTGAATTAAATAATTATTATGAGATATTATTATTTTTGACTTTATGGAGAAAAAAAGTTTTAAAAAGTAATGACAAAGTTTGGTAATAATTACGAGTACTATTTAGGAAAAAATGTTAAATAAATTACTAAATTTGTTAAACTTTTGTAATTGAATCATTAAATTAAAAATATTATGAGATATTACTTAGCCGTCTACTGATGTGGAATTATAATTAGTTTTAAACTGACATTAATTGAAAAATAAATAAATTAAAATAGGAGAAGCAACCATTTTTTGTTGGTAACCTCAAACCTGTAAACAAATGCAAATTACACATTTTTTGTTTATTTGATTATTTAATTGCACAAATGTAATATATTTATTGACTTTTTTGCCACTTTTTTCTGTTATTTATATGAATAATGCATAAATAGAGAAAAAAGAAATTGTTGTGAATAATTTTAAATTTATAAATTGAATACTAAATTTAAATATTATCTCTGACCAATAATTAAACCCGATTCAAATAAGATTTCATCAAGTGCTAATGAGTTGGCATGTGTCAGTTTACCACACTATTTGAACACTAATTTGGATTACAATCTGTAAATCGTGAAACTAAATGTTAATAATACTAACATTTCAGAAAAAAACATGTGAAAATATACAATAATATTTTATATATCTCTTTTTTTTTTTGTAAAAATATACAATAATATTTTTCTTTGAGTCAATAAGTATTATATTTTTATCAAAATATATTACTTGTTCATTAAAAATGTAATAATTTATAGTAAAAAAATGTAACATTATTGAATATCTGCCTCACGTGACATGGGTTGATCTTACACAAAATTAACGATTAAAGTTTATTGTGAAGACTAAGAGATGTTAATTTGATCGAGTGAAAAGAATTTTGAGTTGTTTAGGTATAAAGTTAGGAGTTTAAACATGTTAATTTGATTGATTTCAAGCCGGATTAATTAATTGAATTAACCAAAGTTTTAAATCTTTTAACCATCACCAAAGCAAAATATGTATTTTTTACTTTAAACTAAATTACAATTTTCACTTAATTTAATTGGTTAATCGAAAATTTTTAATGGTTAAAAAATAAAATAATGAATACATGTATTTTTTTTTGAAGGTCAATCTTGCGATTGTATTAATGAATCAAAGCCGAAATAGCGTCAGGTGGGATAGCATCCCAGTACATAGCTTGATCCTGTGTAAATGCTAACGAAGCTAAAGTATGCGCATTTAAATTAACCTGTCTAGAGATGTAATTTAAAGCAATACGATTAAATAAAGACATAAATGTTCTGCATTGGTCAATCGTGACCCCAACGTACGAATGGATTGGCGTGTGATGGTGCCGGATAATCGTAGTCAACTCCATGCAATCCGTGAGTAAACTTACTGATGTGTTGTTCCGTTCAAGTAACCAAGACAGTGCTTCCTTGTATGCCTACGCCTCCGCCATAAGTGGTGAGAAACAAATCGGTAATTTGTCATTCCTTGCTGCCACAAAAGAGCCATCTGGCGCTATTAATAATATGCCGTACGTAGCCTCGCCTGTGTCGTGACGGAAGCCCGCATCCACATAACACCGTAGACCCCCTTCCCCCGGTTCGGTTAATGGCACCGACGCCGCAGCCGGCTTGGTACGGTAGTCCTGGGCAGCGCCGTACGCCTGAAGTGCTGCGGCTGCTGCTCTGGCTAATTGGGTAAGCCGCGTCATAGATCCCTTCCAGACAGCCGAATTTCTGGTTCTCCAAATATAATATAACACCGCTACCATCAATCGGGTCTACTCCTCCGTCAAGATCGCCAAAGCCCCTTTTAGCCATGTTGTAAAAGAGTCTGCAATAATATTAGTGATAGGCAATTGTGTTATATTCCAAACAAGTCTAGAATATTCACAGAGCACTAAAGCATGTAACACATCTTCATGATCTAAACCACACATTGGGCATATTGGGTCCACCTCTACCCTTTTAAATATCAAGTTAATGGTAGTTGGCAAAATATCACATATGGCTCTCCACAAGAAAGTCTTCCATTTGGGGGACTTTTAATTTCCACATTGAAATCCATTTATCAAACATCACGGGGTTATTTTCATAGTCACCCACAATACGCCTATAGGCATTCTTCACAGTATATGTCCCCTTTGGGTCACTCATCCAATATCATGAGTCCTCGTAATCCGGACTAATAGGGATCATATTTATTCGTTCCACATCCTCAGGAATAAACAAGTCAGATAAAATATGTGGATCCCATGTGTGTGTCTGTAAATCAATTAATCCTGCAACTCGTGCCTCTCTCAACTGCTCTGGCATTTCTGTTTGAATCAAAGGGCTAGGATTATCTCATAACCACGGATGCCCCCATATCAACGTTGTCTGTCTATTTCCAATTCTCCTTCGCACCCCTGAGATCACCATTGCATGGGCTGCCATTATACTTCTCCAACAGTAACTTGGGCAATTACCAATAGTTGCATCAGTAAAACTGGTTGTGGGATAATACCTTGCTTTATAAATTTTTGCTGCGAGTGTTTCTGGGTCTGTTAGAAAACGACATGCCTGTTTTCCCAGCATAGCTAGATTAAAAGCCCTAAGCTCTTTAAAACCCATACCACCATACTTTTTCGGTACGCACAACCTGTCCCAAGCCTTCCAATGTATTCCCCTTTCTCTTCCATTCCCCCACCAATACTTATTCATAGTTCGCTCAATTGACTGACAAACTGTCTCAGGTAACAAAAAAACACTCATTGAAAAGGTAGGCATAGATTGCGCTACACTTTTCAACAATACTTCCTTACCAGCCTGAGAAAGCAACTTCTTACTCCACGAACCAATTCGCTGCCTGATCTTCTCTTCCACGTAAGAAAAAACAGCTCTCTTATTCCTCCCCACAAAGGAAGGTAAACCCAAATATTTCCCAAAGTTGGGTGCTTGCACCACCCCCAGATAATCCGCTACCTGTGCCCTGTGATCCTCCTGGGTATTTCTGCTAAAGCATATATTAGATTTATTATAGTTCACCACTTGGCCTGACAATTTCTCATACGTTGCAAGGCATTGCCTTATAACTCCTGCCTCTTGGATATTTGCTTTGAAAAATAGTAGACTATCATCCGCAAAAAATAGGTGTGATACGGGCGGTGCCCCCTAGCTACTCTGCATCCATGTATAGAGCCTGTTAATTGTTCATACTGTAATATCATCGAGAGAGCCTCTGCACAAATAATAAACAAATACGGAGAGAGAGGGTCTCCCTGCCTGAGACCCCTGGTTGGTTTTACGCACCCCCTGCCATACCGTTGACCATTACAGTATAATTAACAGTCGTTACATACAACATATTGAGTTTTATCCACTTCTCACTAAAACCCATAACGGTCAGCATCCTTTATAGAAAGATCCACTCCATTCTGTCATAGGCCTTTGACATATCTTGTTTCAATGCACTCCAACCCGCTACACCACATTGCTTTCTATTTAGATAATGCCCCACCTCAGCCGCCACCAAGATGTTGTCAGTGATAAGCCTTCCCGGAATAAATGCACTCTGGGATTCTGAAATCAATCATCCCATAAGCGCTTTCATCCTATTTGCTATCATCTTTGCCATAACTCTATAAACGACATTACTCAACGCAATCGGCCTTAAATCTGCAACTGTCTCAGGCACCTCTTTCTTAGGGATCAAAACAATGTTAGTATCATTCAAACCCTCGGGGAATACACATGAATTCAAGGCATTCGTTATAAAGCCAGATACATCTCCTCCCACTACCTCCCAAAACTGCTGGTAAAAACCTGGGTTTAACCCATCCGGGCCCGGTGCCTTATCTGGATACATTGAAAAAAGAGTCCCTTTTACCTCATCAGTTTCAAAAGGGCGGTCTAGCATCATATTCTGCTCCAAGGTCACTCGTGGGGTTAGGACCCCAAAAAGCGGATCGTCACAGCTCAATCCATTAGAGGCAAAAAT